ATATATATATAATAATAATAATAATAATAATAATAAAGACATCTGAGTATGTGTTGAATCCTCGTACAATGTTAAGACGATAATTCATTACTCTACCGCCGCAAATTTTCTAGCACGCATCACATTTGAGCTAAGATTAAATAGTTATTGGTGTCGTTTAGTTTATCTTATCAAAATGTTCAACTTGACTATTAGGGTTAAACTTAGAGCTTTACTCGTTCCTAATCTAATTAAAAAAATTTTCAACCGCAAATCAAAATATATCATGATTATTTTCTTTTGAAACTAAATTTGAGTCTTTCAATTAGAGGAAAATTCCTCAAGCAACTCCAATGCAATAAGAAGTTCGCAGTCATTTGAATGCAAAATAAGAAACTTAAAATATATTTATATTCAGGTAAAATCATAAAAAAAATTGAACTTCTTAAGATATATCGTTTTGCATCACATTTGAGCTAAGATTAAATAGTTATTGGTGTCGTTTAGTTTATCTTATCAAAATGTTCAACTTGACTATTAGGGTTAAACTTAGAGCTTTACTCGTTCCTAATCTAATTAAAAAAATTTTCAACCGCAAATCAAAATATATCATGATTATTTTCTTTTGAAACTAAATTTGAGTCTTTCAATTAGAGGAAAATTCCTCAAGCAACTCCAATGCAATAAGAAGTTCGCAGTCATTTGAATGCAAAATAAGAAACTTAAAATATATTTATATTCAGGTGAAATCATAAAAAAAATTGAACTTCCCGAGTCGATCTGGCCCACATCGACCTAATTCAATGGTGACCACACCTTATCAGTTATAACAGAAATAAAATATTCATATGCCACCGTAATCATAGGAAAAGGCCGCGTAAATCATTCCGAAATATTGCCCTTCATGTGTAGATTCAGCGCCGCCTGGCCAAGACAGCGAGTTCTCTTAAAAAATTTAATTAAAATAAAATAAGATCATTATTTTTTATATCTATAGCTTTTAATTTTATCTATTATTATATTTTATCGCTTAATTAAATTAAATCATAACATAATACTACTTATTTAAAATAATAAATATAATTAAATTATTAGACAGTGAAATCAAATTATTAAATTTATTTAATTGTATATTTATTAACATCTAATTGTCTACTTTTGTTGTCTAAAAATTTAGTGTATGTTTGGAGCAGCTGCAGCTTATTGAATAATCTGTTGATAAACTGATTAAAAAAAAATCTGTTGATAAACTAAGTGTTGTGGCTATTACAATTTTTTTTTTTTTGGAAAAAATTAGATTTCAGCCAGAAAGCTGCGGTGTATAATCACAATTTACCCAAACAAATCAAGAGTGTCTTCAAAACTCCACCGCACCAAATAAGCTGCCCCAAATCTCATTTTTATTTCAAGTTTTTAATTATAATATTTGATAATTTAATTCTATTGAAGGATACAATTAGTATTATCTATGTACGAGAATATTTTAATAGAAGCTTTTTTTTTTCATTTTAATCTCAGATAAAAATTAGAAATTAATATACGCATTTCTATCATAATTAAATTCATTAAAAACTCTAAATTAATAAGCATACATTGCTGGATTCATAAATTTAATGTAAATAAAACATGATATAAATAAATATTAAAAAATTATATAAATTTTAATAATTAAAGTAACACCTACGCTTGGGAAAAATTATAAACAGCATTATAGCAAATAATATTCATAAAAATCTGATTCCGTGGGAATTTAGAACAGGCAGAGACTCGTGACGCAGTCATTGACTGTTTGTTCTCCTGCTCTTTGCTGGAGCTGAGAAAGGAGTAAGAACTCTGCACATTGGATCTTCTATAACTCCATGAACTTCTCGCAGAAGATAATGGGATTTTAATGGAGAGTCATTCTATCATTTGATCTGATAAAGTTGGGATTCTTTTGGGTACTGTAACCTTTCCTTCTTCAAGTATAGAGCAAATTTTTTCGGTAAATTTTTTTTTTTTTTGAAATTTTGTTGGTTTTCTGAATTCTCATGTTGCTTCTGAGTTGTAAGAATGGGCTCCATTGAATCATTAAGGATCGAATTATGAGCAGTACGATTCTAGATGCATTATTCTGCTACTTTCTGAACTGGTTCTAAAGTGGGAAAGTCCTAGCTCTGAGAAGTTACCTTTCTGATTCCCTTCGCTAGCATTGTTTTTATGAGCTTTAATGGCTGGCAAACGCGGTTATCTTCAATCTACCTTTTTCTGTTGTCATAAACCCTTTTCTCCGTTTCCTCTTTTGAGCAATTTTTGAAGGAAGTGAGTCGGGTTCCATAACTTTTGCATTTTTTCCTTCAGGTCTTCTTGAATTAGGTCTCTGCAGATTTCACATTGGGAATTTTCTTGCTATCAATGTCGAGGCCACTTTACCGGGGATTCTCTGGCGGCTATGGAAGGCTCTCCGGCTGTGAAGACTCATTTGATAAGATCTCTCAACAGAAGAATTTCTCTAAGAATGGATTAGGTCATGAGCTTCCAAGTCCTTACGGAACAAGTAGAAATCGGCAAAACTTGACGCTTAGCTTGCTGAAGTTTGGTCTTGCCCTAATTGTTTTCGTTGCAATTTGGGGTTCACTCTACTGGATTGCATATATCTCCAATGCCTCACAAGTTAACATCTATAGAGGTTACAGGCGGGTACAAGAGCAGCTCGTTGCGGATCTCTCTCTCGTGGAAGAGCTCGCTAATGGAGTTGGCAAGCTCAGAGAGATTGAATTCTGCCCACCTGAGTTTGAGGATTATGTTCCATGTTATTATAATCTTTCAGAGAGTTTAGATTCAGCAGATACCGATCGGCAGATTGAGCATGAGAGGAAATGTGATCGTGGATTTGGAAAGGGGCTGACTTGTTTGATTTTTCCACCGAGGAGTTACAGGATTCCATTAAGATGGCCGACAGGAAGGGACTTCATTTGGAAGGAGAATGTGAAGATCACAGGGAAGGAGTTCTCATCAGGGAGTTTGACGAAGAGGTTTGATAGTTTTTCTTCTTATTTTGTGAAGATTTATGCATCAAAATTTAGGTTTTTGATTTTATTTAAATTTTCATTGTAGGATGATGGTGGAGGAAGAGCATATCTCTTTTCACTCTGACTCTTTAATGGTTGATGGAGTAGAAGACTATTCACATCAGATAGCTGAGATGATTGGGCTTAGAAATGAGTCAAATTTCAATGAAGCTAGGGTAGGTCTTATCCTTTTGAACAATTTTATTTTTTATTTTCCGTCTTTGATGTGATTCCAGCCAGGAGGGTGAAAGGGGAATTTGATATTGAAAAGTTAAAAAGGTTGCGGGGATTTGGTATTACGTATTAGAGCTTCAGGAGAATATATCACTTTCGAAAAATTATAATTAATGATTCCATCATGCTTTTCTGTAAAGAGGTTTAGAATAGAAAAAGTTGGGGGAGAGGACTGTTTAATTTAGAGCCTATTATTGAACTATCAATCATTTTTTTTTAATTATAACTTTATGTGTGGATTTGTTTCTTGTTGTTTATTCAAAGATTTTTGCTGTTTGTCCTTTTTATAAATGTTATGAGCATGGGTAACTCTTGTTCTGAGAATTGTAACTTAGAAAAGGCAATGTCTGAAAACAGGCATTAAAAACGGGCAATCTGGATAAAGTATAAAGTTTAAAGCTAGAATGTAGCGAAGATATAAAGTGCTAAATTTTTTTTCCATCAGAAACATATTGTATAACTGGTAATCTCTGTTTATTTTGGGTGAAAGCGACAGAAATAAATTTGAACTACATTAATAATTATGTTTATATTTTTTGGTTTGATTGGTTGTTTCTCACTGATTCTAGTGAATACTTGATGAAAAAAAGATTAGTGTAGTTCGAACCATTTGCCAGATCTTTTTTATTTGGTACAGTAAGCTTTTCTTTCCCAGCTGCAAATCACCATTTTTAAAGAATCTTTTTTCATAATTTTGTATTTCTGTGGCAATTGATCTTATTGATATCTATCCCATCCCTTTCTCTGGCTAACATGATCCAACATGATCTTTGTAAAAAAGAAATGATTTTTTTGTCAAAATCGGCCGGCCAAGAGTGCTAGTCAAATGATGCTATGAAATCCATTCCACAAATTTCTTACAGGTAAGAAATTTGTACTGTTGTTTGTGTTATTTTTAAATTTAAATTTTTTTATATTTTCTTATAATTATTTTAGTGTTATGATGTGATGCTTAATTTACTTGACAAATAGGATTTGAAATTAAGGAACTTAGTTATTTACTTGTAGATAATTCATGGATAGAACTGAATTAATGATTGTTAACATATTGAAACAACTTATGCTAAATTTAAGCCTGTATTAGCTCAATATCTTGTTATAATACACTACCTTATTATACTTATAAAAGGCAATTGATTGGAAGCTCTAGCATGCACTTTGGGTCCCTTGAAGGTGGCATTGGAAAGGGCTTTTAGTGATGTTTCTACTTGAGAGTTAACTTAGCTAATTGACGGTAAACTTCAAGGAGGCATCTAAAAACTCAGTGTTTCGCGGTCATTTGCTAAAGTTAGGCAAGCATGACTGAGATAAATGGTAGTTGTTGGTCATTGATAGAGTTGGTGTTGATTGGTAATTGTTGATTGGAAATTGACAAATTTTATGCCAAGCACCATGGTTTCCCTTGTTTGTTATATGCAAGAAAGGAAAGTGATAAGGGATTTAATGAGTTTTATATATATTATGGTATAAATATAATATTTAAATCATTTTTTCAGTTTGTCAGGGAAATGAAATAAGAGAAGAGTGGGATTCTTGGGAAAGAAAGGAAGAAATAAAAGGAAAATACTTGTGAGTAGGTTTATTTATCTTGTACTCGCCTTTAAAGTAGTTGAACTATATTTCATTGTGCGGCTTTGAAAATATGAGAAATTTGGTCTAATCATTTAAATCTTGTGGCCCTTTGTTTTATAGTGTTTATACATTTAATTTGTTTATGTTTTCGTTTAAGCCATTGCTCTTGTGCACACATTTTCCCCAATAATTGGTATAACAGCATGGCTTTGAGGTTTGAAATAGCAAAGTGGGAGCAATGGCTGTTGATAGTTAAAATTGATAAGTTCAATGTTACAGAGCATTTGGAAATAGGAAGACACAGATCAAGGATCATCTGTATAAAACAAACTCTGGCCGTCATTCTTAGTGATGAAATTGATGACCCTGAGCCAAGAAGCTTTAGATCGATAGGGCAGATTGACATTGGGAGAATGTTGCTTTTAATTTGTTAAGAATGTTGTATTCAACAAATTACACAAGCTTATCATTACTGAAGTTATGGAAGCTATATCAAATATGCACAAGAAATCTTTTATAGAGAATAATTTATAATTAATGAGTTCCGGATAGTAAAAGATGTGCTTCCATAGCAGAATATATTAATAAATTCAATACGTTGAAATGCCATTTGCGTTTAATTGATATCAATTTCGAGACAAAATTCCTGATTTTTACTTCTTGTCATTGCTTTTGCAAAGCTGTGGTGCAAATATATTGAGGATTGTTAATCTTTGAGGGTCTATGGGGTTGAAGTCCAGTAATACCAATGACTATTACATAACGATATCCAGAGATGACAATTAGGTAGTTCTTCTTTTGCTGCTTTGAGTCTTGAAACTAGATGGAAAATTACAAAGAGTGTCAACAATTGAGCTGATTTATATCTTGAATTTCAAAACACTGCATGATGTAAATACTGTAACTAAAGGGATCTATGGTGTGTATTATTTTGAAGTGTTGATAGTCATGTCGATTCTTGGATCTTTAGTATTTTCTTAACTCTGCTCCACAATAGTTGTCTATTTCTAACTATTTTGCATGCCATATGAGAAAGTCGATATTGATAGTGATGAAACTTCAAATATAGTGAGAGTGATGCTTACAAAAGAAAAGAACAAGCACTTTGAATAGAACATGTAAAAGCTTTACAAGGTAAGTCATATTCCATGATCAAAGTAAAATTTGATCTCAATTGGGCAGCGGGGTCAAGAAGGATATATCTCCAATTTTTGTTTTCATACTTTGAAGGTTATGAAAGGCGTAAAAAAAGGTAAAAAATGATCTTTTTGTAGTAGTCCAATGACACTTCATTTAGGTTTATGAATGAAACTATGAATGAAAGTTACATGCAGAATTGCTCGAGTTTTTTTGGGCGAATGTTGTCAGTAAGTCTATTTGATCAATAACCCTCAATTGCTTTAGGTTATAATTTACTTGCAGGGGGTGAATTGGAAAGGGGTTAAACTTTTGTCCTTCAAAGGTTTTCGATCTTTTTTATATGCATATGGAATTTATCGAGAGTTATTTCATTAATGAGATGGGGTGATTTTGGCTATTAATTTTGAGATGATCATCATTAGGATTATAAATGTTACTTTTAATGAAATTGTCATATGCAAGGGCAAGTTCATCAATGCAGAATCCACAACTGAGAAAGTTGAAAAATCGAGGAGATGAATGAAGAGGGATATGCAAGTAGGTGGTCAAGTGACTAAGAAAATGAAGATAAAAACATTGGTTATTATATGCTTATGGTTGAGTTGAGAAGATTTAAATGGATGTTGAGGCCTGCGTATGCTCCCTTTTCTTTCATTACTTATTGTTGATAGATGCTAATAGAATGAGAAATGCAAGATATATAATTTCTAGTGGGATATACAAAGAACACAAAAAAAAAAAAAAATTGTGAAGATAAATTTGAGAGGGAATTCTCATAATTTTCATTATTCATTATTCAACCCTAAGGTTACATATATAGGTAAACTAGTCCCTCCTAATTTACAATCTTACCAAATATATCTAGGCTAAATATGCAAATGAAATAATTCCAAAATAAACATAATTAGGAAGAGAATAAAACTAATTAAGCAGTTTCCCAAATTGTCTCTACCTGGTCGATTCTTCTATATTTCCACAACCCCTCAAGTTAGGTCATAGATTTTGTAGAGCCCAATCTTTGTATTAAACTCTTAAATTTTGCTTAATGGAGGAGCTTTAGTGAAAATATTAACAACCTGTTGGTGTGTCGGGAGCTAGCTTAGCTGTATAATTTCACAGTTAACTTTTTTAGAGATAAATTGCATGTCAATTTCAAAATATTTAGTCTTGTCATGATGCACAAGGTTTTTGGTAATATTGATAGCTTCTTGACTATTATGACTTACAAAACATTTGTGTAGGCTTATTAGAGGCACGCCCCAATTCTCTCAATAATTTTTTAACTCATCTCTTGACAAATTCCTAAGGCAGTTACCCTATACTCTAAATTTGCACTGTTTCTAGAGACAACCACTTGCTTTTTGCTTCTACAGTTAATCAGATTTCTCCATGCATATGAGCAATAACCTATTGTTGAATTTCTGTCAGTGTGTTCCCTAGCTCAACTTTGCATCAGTGTAGACTTCTACCTCTCTATTTCTAGTTCTCTCAAACAATAATCCATAATTAGTAGTCTTCTTGAGAAATTTCAGGATCCTTTACACCATTTCCAAATCTTTTCGTATGCGTTATTCTTACGTTGGCTCATAGTATTGACAGAGTATATAATATCTAGTCTAGTATGTGGTAGGTAGATTAGTTTTCCTACTAATTTTTTATATTTTTCTCTTATCCACAGATATATTTTCTTCTCCTTTGTTAGATTTTTTGTGGGATCCTTTGGAGTATCGATTGATAGATTTGCATCCAATCATTCTAGTATCCTTTAGCAAATCTATGATGTATTTCTTAAGTGAAATAAAAAGGACCTTTTTGGATCTTGCTACCTTCATACCTAAAAAATAACTCATGATTCTAAGGTTATTGATTTCAAACTCAGTGGCAAACACTTCCTTTATTTGATTTTTTTTTGTCATCATCACGAGTTAGAATCATATCATTAACATACACTATCAGTGCAATAATCTTACATCCCTACATGTGTTTGATGAGCAGTGCATAATAAGCTTGACCTTAAAAGTATTCATTTTATCTCATAGTCTTAACAAACCTTTCAAATCATGCTCTTTATTGACTGCTTAAGACCATATATTGACTTTCTGAGTTTGCATATTAGGCATTTGTCGGAATTATTCTCAGGTCTTGGTGATATCTTCATGTACACATCTTGAAGATTTCAAGATACCCATTCGTGAAGATGTTTTTTATATCAAGTTAATGTAGTCCTCAC